CCATCCCACCTGGTGGGAAATGTCCTTCCCACCAGGTCTGTTTCTCAGCCGCCTTTCTCACCTTTTCCAGGATGCAAGAAGATTCGGCTTCTCTGCCATGTCACACTGGAGTCACAGGATACTCAGGCTGCCTCAGGATCTCCCCAGACACAGCCTTCGACCCATGGCCGTGCTCTGAGGTGGGTGACCTTCACAGCTCTCCTGGGCCCTTTCCAGAAAGACCAGGCACAGACCTGTGTTACCAGTCCACAATAACAGAGTGTGTCTCCCTTCCACCCTCTCTGGGACTGAACCCACAGCAGGGTCTGACGCTCAGGATCCCACTACCTCTCCTTCTTCATGTGCAGAGAAAGATTTTTTCTCTGGTAGGCAGGAGACAAGGCTAGGCAAATTTTCTTCCAAACCAACACTTATACCAAAAGTTTGAACTTTAAATGCTAAACCATATCCTCTTTTGTTTCTCTTTGTGCTTTCATTGTGGCCTCCCTTTTCTGAGGCTCAAAAGCCAAGTGTGATCTTGGAAGGATGATAGAGAAAACAAAGGATTGCAGCCCTCCTCCAATCATTTGAGTCATTCAAGGTCAAATTACAAATGTTAGAGGCCCTCTGATCTAAAAAAAGAAAGAGACAGCACCCCACATCCTGTGCTCCAAAATAAAATCAGCATTTAATAAAGCATTAATTATAAAAGGAATGGAAAGAACTCCATGAGTACTGGTTTTTCTGTGCTTTTTTTTCTTAATGTCATACTCTTTAATGGTTCCTTCCCAGCACTGATGTCAAGCTATCAAAGCCACCTACTAATGGGTACAGGAACCCAACTGCAGAGTCCACAGGGTCACTGTCATCTTCAGTGACGGACAGTGGTCCAGGCTGTTGAAGTTTAGGGTTCCCACAAGAACCAAGCAGCCATTTGGTTTAGAGAGATCCCAGGAAGCAGTCAGAAGGGAGATGGGGAACCCTGAAGCGGATTGGTGGTGATATTTGTCTTCCTGGGATGCAGGCTGCATCTGGGGTGACAGCACATCACTAGTGCAGCTGGAGACGCTGCTGCCTAACCAGCCCCCCACCCCACCCCGCACTCTGAGGCCACTCGTGCTCGGAGCTTCTAGGGCGTTGTGCATCAGGCCAGGGAGGCTGAGGCAGGCTCTGCTCTACTTTTTTCTCATGCTATGGGGTCCGTGGGTGACCAGGGCAGAAACAGGACTTTGGGCTCAGAACTGGTACTGTATGACCCACATACGCTCTGCCAAGCAAGTTGCATGACCCAGGCCCACGTGGGAGGAACTACTGAGTCAAGTGGCAAAGTACATGGGTTCAGGGAGGGGGAAGAATTGGGGCGGTGATCCAATCTGCCCTTCCGTTTTGGTACCATCGACCGAATGCCGTAGAAATCGGACATAATCTCGAGTTGCGACCAATGGGAACACCGTCGTCTGGGCATAGTATAGAAGTCCTCCTGAAATCTTAGCTGAAGAACTGGTCCCACCATGACAGGGACAATGTATGTCTTGTTCACTTCCTGTGAAATACATACTTCTTGGCTAAATATCTGCTTATAGGCATATGAAGACATAGCTCAGTGGCACCACACCTGCCTGGCAAGTACAAGGTCCTGAGTTCAATTCTTAACACCAAAAAAAAAAAAAAAAAAAAAAAAAAAAAAAAAAAAAAAAAAAAAAAAAAAAAAAAAAAAAAAAAAAAAAAAAAAAAAAAAAAAAAAAAAAAAAAAAAAAAAAAAAGTTAAAACATGAGGAAATCAGTCCTAATGTAAGCGAATAAAAAATTCTAAGAACAAAATGCCAAACAAGTCCAGTCTAGGATTCGAGTCTCTCCTCTGTCTTGAATTAGCTCTCTTGCAACCTTGTACAAATCCAGGCTCAGTGGTCCTCAGTAGGACAAATGGATCTGGTGACCTCTCGGCTTCCAATCACAGTTTTCTGAGGGTCACCAGCCTGGGCTCTGGACTTCTGCAAGGACAGTCCTCTGCCTCGTCTCACCACTGTATTTGGATTCCTCTAGGTGCCTGTACAGCATCTCTCCTCAAGGTCCAGCCACTTCTTGAGGCTCTGCATAGGAGCCTCGGGAGCTCCCGCCAGGACACAGTGGCCCATTGAACCTGCGGACTTTTCTTTAACACATGGCTCCAGTCTCTAGGCCTCTCTACCCCCTTATCATTTTTATTTCTTTGTATCTGTGTTAAATGTTGATATATCTTTCAACTCATCTTCCAGCTCACAAATGCAGTTTTTAACATTATTACCCCCTTTTAATTATTTTCTTCAGATTTTCAAATTAAAAAATGTTTTTAGTTCCCCAGACAAAACATTGTCATCTTTGTTGTTTTGTCCCTGGGGGACAACATTGCAGCTGGAGCCACGCGTCCATCGTGTATCCGGGACCCAGCAGACACAGTGCAGCCCAGCCCTCTCTGCTGTCGTCCCTCACGTCCGCCCGGCTGAGGAGATCCTCCTCCAGCTGTGCCCTCTGTGCAGCTCCAGTTAAGCCTGTGGTTTAGTGGACAGTCCAGGCCTCGCCTGCATGCCAGCCCCAGCAGCCTCCCTGCCAGGAAAGGCAGATGAAGGACAGTTGGAGGAGAGCGTGTGAAAGATGTCCACAGGCTGCCATCTCCACCCTCTGTGCCTTTTCTCAGACAGCTTTGCATGGCCCAGGGCTCCTTTTGGGAAATTTTCCCGCTGCTGACCAATGGCAGCCTGGGTGAGGCTAAAACGTCAGGCCAAATGGGGCCACGCCTGAAGGCTGTGACAGTCACAGCTGCAGGAACCTTCCAGGTCGGCTCTAGAGAAGTGAGGGGACCGGATGGTGTCCACGGATCCCTGATGGTGTCAACCATCTGTGGGCCCCCACTCTGCAGACCCCCGTCAGATGACAAGGCGGGGCCGGAGCTGTCCACTGCTCACCCTGAGGCTGCTCTGGGCACTCCGGAGGCACAGTTCCCGTTTCCCCAGCAGGGCCAGGGTCCCCCAGCCCAGATCTCATGGGCTCTGTTGGACACGAAGATGAAACTGCTGCCCCCCACCACAGCCAGCCCTGGGTCTTCTATCAGAATGGATTTGTGCTCTGCTTACACGACCCCAGGCTCTCAGGGCTTTTGATCCGAGAAGAGGCCTGTTAGGAAACATCCAGATTCCCCCAGGGGCTGGCCCATAACTCTGCCAAAGGGACTTTGACCTCCAGAATAGAGGAACCTGCCTGTGCAGTGAGCAGGAGGGGCCCGGGCATTCCCTGAGCTCCAGGCAACTCCGCTGCAGGACGCAGGTTACCACGAGAGGTGCTGGCCTGGTCAGTGAAGTTGGCACAAAGCTCAGTCCTTCTATCCAAGGGGCTCCCGGCCGCAGGCACCAGGACTTTGAAGGTGCACAGACTCCTGCAGGATGCGTCAGAAGACTCCTTTCCAGGGTGTCCATTTCCCTTCCTTCACCTCTGGCCTCTTGTTCCTTGATTAATTTATCTCTTCCTGACAGAGATGCAAGACTGGGGCTTGAAGTTCAGATTGGACTCTAGAGCAGAGCTCTTGAAGTAGAAACTCTCAGAGGGACCACAGTGAAATCCTGAGCTGAAATCCCAAGCCTTCCTCTGGATGCTTGGAGAGGAATGGTCGGAGTGGAAGGCAGACTTGGGGATGGCCAGGGCCTTCCACCCACCATGCTGCCTGAGGCGAGGTCCCCCGTGGGGACAGTGGCTTCTGGTCACACCCTTCAGCCTCTCTCCAAGATGCACCCTGAGCAGACCACAGAAATAGAAAAATGGGGCAATGTGTACCATCGGTCCTCTGGAAACCTGGGGATTCCTGGGTCAGCTGGTCCACCTGGGGGTGAAGTGAGAAGGAGGAGTGAAGCCCTGTGTCTTGGCCAGGTTCACCGGGTGAGGGCCTGGCCAGCGGGGAGCTAAAAAGTCACGGATTTGGCCTGGGCCAGACAGACCAATGCAGTAACTGAGCTTGGGTGCAGGAGACTCATAAACAATTGATTAATTAGATAAGGTCAACAACTAACCAATTAACTAGTTCGGATGTAAACTACGGACACTGGATTCACTGTAGCAAATAGTTTTCTCTTGTCATTTCCCTTCTGTCAATGTTGATCAGAGACATTGCTGGAATTCTCAACCTACTCTGGTTCTGAAGGCTGCCTGGTTTGTTTCGGTTTTCTTGCCTTTGCCTAAACTCTTGCATAACTGGCCTAAGGAGTTTTCCCTTTGAACCATTGCGGGGTGGTTGACAGAGTCCCAGCAGGGCTGTCATAGCAAACAAGGTCGATGTGGTCCCTTCCTCCATGGAATGTTGCAGGAAAATGCCTGCACACACAGAGAACCAAGCAAGGAACCAAACAGCAACTGCCCCGTCACCCGAAGCCACATCCGTCCCATAGCAGCTCTTTGTCAGCATCTATTACTGAACACGGTGCTGGTCTCACAGCAGAATGTGTAATTCTACTGGTGCGACTCTTATTTTTGGTACCGGGGATTGAACTCTGGTCCTTGTGCTTGCGAGGCAGGCAGTGGAACCTCTGAGCTAAGTCCCCGGCCCCACATCTTGGTTTCTTGTGAATAGGGAACCCAGGTGTATTTGTTAGCAGGTATGAAAGGGTTTGTACTGAGGAAACATTTCTAAAGAGTAGGAAATGGTGCTTCGCTATGAAATGATGATAGAAAACAATTCAAAATTGTGTCTCCTGAGGCAGGAGACCAGGGCATGGCATCGTAGCTAGGGCAGCTGGGCTTGACCTGCCAGCTGCAGAGATTTGCTAACCATGGGCGGAGAGCAGCGGCCCCGAACCGGCACCTGATGCCAATCTTCCAGCACGAGATCAGGTGGGAAGGCCCGGGCCCAACGTCAGAAGGAAGACGGAAAAGGCAGCAGCGCCACCACTGCCACTGACCTCTTGTTCCAGCAGCCGCCTGTCCTGGGTGAAAGACAGATCTTCTCTTTCCTTTGAAGCAGCCTTTCTCCTTGAGCACTTCCTTGCCCGTCTTTCTTGCCCTAAGATAAATGTTGCTCTGTCACGTTCACAAGTTGTTCTGACCAATTCACCGAAGGTAACAAAGGGAGCCAGGAGGTAAGGCTCTTCAGGCAGTTTCTCTCTCTGACGTTTAAGGACTAAGGACTCTCTCCCCCAATCCTCTTCCTGTCCCTTCTCTCCCAGGCCATTTGGGAGAGGCAAGGCGCTAGGTGGTGGTAGAAGTTAGGGGAAGCTGGGGAGGCTTCAGGAGCCAGGAGAGGAGAGCCTGCAGCTTCACGAGGCCATGCAGTCATGGCCTGCTGGGCCTGGCTTCCGTGGCTGCGTCTCAGCTAACTGCCCTGTTGAGTACATGAAGGCTTCTCGGATTTCTATCGGATTTGGGGGAGTTGAGACAGGGGCTCGCTTTGTAGTTCGGGCTGGTCTTGACCTCACTATGTGGCCCAGGCTGGCCTCAAACTCACAGCGATCCTCCTGCCTCAGCCTCCTGAGTGCCGGGGTTACAGGGGTGTTCCACCAAGAGCAGGTTTTAATTCTTAGCATAACTAAACATGATATAAGAATATATACTGACTTGTGAAAAAAAATGCATGAAAAGCTGTTTTAAGTGTGTTCTTATAAGACTATGCTTACTGTTCTAATCTGGTGGTGAAGGTATTCTTAAGAAATTGGAGGTACTCTTGCTACACAAAACTAAATGAGAAAAACTGTATAATAATCTCCTGCTGTTCCAACCATTTTTATGCTGTATCAGGCAAGGTAATTAACATTTAGTTATGTGTCACTGAAAAGTTTCATTCTAAGAATACCTTGGGTTAGTTATTTTATTCTTTAATAGTGGAAGGGAGGGGCTGGGGATTCTCAGTGGTTCCGCCGCCTGCCTCACAAGTACAAGGGCCTGAGTTCGATCCCCGGTACCAAAAAGAATAATAATAGTGGAAAGGATTCAACCCATTTCATAAGAAGGAATTGAAAGACCTTGCGATTCAGTCTGGAGAACACCGAGGAACCTCGGTTAGTGATTTACTGAGCCCGGGCCAGTCGTGGCGATTCATGCCTCGTGGGTGACATTCAGTCCTCGTGCATCTACTCGTATCAGTAGCCCCCTTCACTTGCCCTTTTGTTTGTGAGTGATTTGATTCTGAGAGATGTGACCAAGTCCACAATCCAGATGGCTTTCCAGGCCTGTGACTGTGATACCATTTGCTCTATTACCACATGCTAGTTGGCTGTGTAAGTTAGTGGACATCCATTTAAGCTATCTTACACAGATCTGTTGGAGGGATGCTGGCCTTCTGTTACTCCTGTGGGCTCAGCCCGTGTCTGTGCTCACCGTGCAGCCACCGCTGTTTCAACACTTTTCCTTGGAGTTACTTTCGATGTGACATGCTTCATGTCATGTCTGAGCTCCCTTGTGCTCAGAAACAGTCTTCTGAATTTTAAATCTTATATAAAGATGTAGTCTTGTGTAACATGCAAAGTTCTGTAAGATTTATATTCACATTTGTTTCAAAACAGGAAGCTGAGGGTCTTTAGGAAGCCAAGAGCTGTATTGAAGTATTCTCAGAATTTGTGCCCACCAACCTTTTTTGTTTTAATTTTGTTTTTTTGAGGCAGTGTCTCCCTTTGTAGTTAAGGATGGCCCTGAACTCCCTATGTAGCCCAGGCTGGCCTCGAACTCAGGCAATCCTCCTGCCTCAGCCTTCCGAGTGCTGGGATTACAGGCGTGTGCCACCAATCTTGATCTCAGTTCCAACATGACTTGAGGAGATGCTCTTGAAATTCATAAAGTGCAAAATATTGTTCAAATCAGGGGGCTGGGGATTTAGCTCAGTGGTTCCGTGGCCTGCCTTGCAAGCGCAAGGACCCAAGTTCAATCCCTGGTAACAACAACAACAACAACAACAAAAAATATACATATATATTGTTCAAATAATCATGTTCATAACTGCTATCATGTTGAAGCACGGTTGAAAACTCTTGGGCATTTTAATAGGTTCAAGGGTATTGCTGACAACTTTAGTATATCACAGTGAGACAAGGTATTCTCCATTCTTCCATTTAATAGAAAGGGCAACAGTTTTGGGAGCAACATATCGCGTCGCTATCTGAAAAGAGAATCTATGTTTTTTTGCTTTGGTTTTTTTTTTGGTACTGGGGATCAAACTCGGGTCCTTACACTTGCAAGGTAATTGCCAGAACCACTGAGCTAAATCCTCGGCCCTGAAAAGATTCTCTTTAGTGCCCTGCTGGCAAAGTCTGAGTGGATGGACAAAGTAGTATGTGGTACAATGGCACTGGGTCCCTTCTACAGCACATCCTGTGCTGGACAATGACAGAGACAGCAGCAACCGAGGAGAGGGCTGGACGGCCCGAATCCCCCATCTTCTCTTGGCTTTGGAGGGTTTGGGGAAAAAAATCTGAAGGGCTACTAGAATAAGGTTAACTGTATTTTGAAAAGCTGTGGCCACCACATTTAATTTCTTGCAATTTAAAGTTACAAAGAAGGATTTTTAAGATAGTCACACTGGGGCTGTCTTTGTATGTCTACTGCCGGTCAGCTCGAATTTGAACTTGAGCTTATGGTATCAAGTAGCTAACCTGCATATGTTCTATATGCTAAACAAGAATATCATTTTTTCATGGCTTGATTATTAATCTCAGTGATACATTTTTTAATATTATTGGTACACTTGATATACATGATTACATTCATCGTAGGGAATTTGTACCTGCACATGATATATCTAGGTTCTTTTTCTCCCCATTTCCAAAAGGTTTGTTACCATTTCTTTCTTCTGTTCTTTTTTCCCTTCCCCCTTTCCTGTCATTTGTTTGCTTTCCCTTTTGAACATTTTCTTCCTATTTCCCAGTATGTATCCTCTGTTTTGGTCCTTATTTACCCTTTCCATTTCTCACACAAGAGAAACAATGCAATATTTAAACACTTATTTCTGATTTATTTCACTACAAAGTATGGTCTCAAGGAACATCCATTTACCTAAACATGTCTCAGGTGTATCCTTCTTTCTGACAGAGTAGTACTCCATTATATACAAACACCATATTTTCTTTATCCTTTCATCTGTTGATGGGCATATGGGCTGTCTCCAAGATTTAGCTATTACAAACTGTGCTGCTATAAACATGGGTGTGCATGTATCTGTGTGTTATGATGCTTTTAACTCTTTTGGGAAAATACCTAGAAGGGGAGTAGCTGGCTCAAATGGAACCTGTTTTTTTGTTGTTTGGTACCAGCGATTGAACTCAGGTCCTTGTGTTTGCGAGGCAGGCAGTGGAACCACTGAGCTACACCCCCAGCCCCTGTAGTATTAGTTTGTTGAGAACTTTTCATACTGATTTCCACAGTAGTTTTATCAAGTTACACTCCAACCAACAGTGGAGAAGGGTTCTTTTTTCCCCACATCCCCACCAGTATTTCTTATTGATTTATTTCTTAATGACAGACATTCATTCTGGGGATGGCACCTCGGGTTGTTTTGTTGTTTTTGTTTTTTGTTTTTTTCTTTTAAATTGAATTTATTGGTACATTCTAGGTAGACAGTACAGTTACATTCATTACTGGGATCTTGCACCTTTACATGTCAGGTCTTGCTTCTCATTTTTTCCCCTTCTCAGGTTGTTTTAATTTGCATTTCTTGAATGACCAGTGATGTTGAACATTTTTTCATGTATTTGCTGTTTGCACTTGAGAAATGTCTATATTTCAGATGCCCGTTATTGAACTCAGTCTTTAAATTTGAGGGATCTCATTTTTTTTTCAATTCTTTGTATAGTCTAGATATTAGTTCCTTTGAGAAGTACCTGAGAAGTAACCTTTCCCATTCTGTGAGTTGTCCCTTCACTCTGCTGGTGGTTTCTTTTCCTGTGCAGAAAAAAGCATTTTAATTTGATATGATCCCAGTTGGTGATTCTTTGTAATATTTTCTGTGTGATTGGGGTTTTTGTTCATAAAGTCTTTGCTCTATGTTTACAAGAGCTTTATTTATTTTACCTTTCATCAGATTAAATGTTTCTGTTTTTACATTTAGATTGCTGATCCAATTTTGTTTTAGTTCAGTACATTGTGAGAGATGTGGGTCACCATGTGGAAAGCCAGTTTTGCCAGCACCATTTATGAAAGAGGCTGTCTTTCTTCCAGTAAAGGAGCCTCACTCCTGTGTCAAATAATGTGGCTGAGGACCCGGGGATTTAGCTCAGTGGTTCAGGCACCTGCTTTGCAAGCACAGGGACCTTAGTTCAATCCCTGGTACCAAAAATAAACAAGCAAACAAACAAAAAGAAATAAGAGGAAAGATAATGTGGCTGAGTCAGGCGTGGTGGTGCACACCTGTAATCCCAGCACTCAGGAGGCTGAGGCAGGAGGATCACTGTGAGTTCGAGACCAGCCTGGGCTACATAGTGAGTTCCAGGTCAGTCTCAACTACATAGTGAGACTCTGTCTCCAAAAACCAAAACCAAAACAAACAACAAAAAAAGAACGTGGCTGAGTATGTTTGGAGCTGTTTCAGCATCTTCTATTTTGTCCTATTGATTTTTTTTGAGGGGGGGGTGGTTTTTTGAGACAGGGTCTTACTACATAGTTGAGACTGCCCTGGAACTCACTGTGTAGCCCAGGCTGGTCTTGAACTCACAGTGATCCTCCTGCCTCAGCTTCCCGAGTGCTGGGATTACAGGCGTGCGCCACTACACCTGGCTTGTCCCATTGATCTTTCAGTCTGTTTTTTGGCCAGCACCATGCTGTTTTTATTGTGGTAGCTTTGTAGTATAATTTCAAATTAGGGATTGTAATGCCTCCTGCCTTGTCCTTATTGCCCAGAATTGCTTTTGCTGTTTTAGATCTCATCTGGTTCTAAATGAATTTTAAGATTGTTTTCTCTAGTTCTGTGAGGTGGTTCTAAATGAATTTTAGCAGTTTTCTCTAGTTATGTGAAGTTTGCTACTGGTATGTATTTTCATTGGGATTGTGTTAAATCTGTATAATAGTTTTGGGAGTTTTTCAGTATAATAGTTCTACTAAGAACAAGGCATGTCTTTCCATTTTCTAATATCCTCTCCAACCAAACTCCTTTTTCAGA